GAGAGAGAGAGAGAGAGAGAGAGAGAGAGAGAGAGAGAGAGAGAGAGAGAGAGAGAGAGAGAGAGAGAGAGAGAGAGAGAGAAATTCCGAACAAATGTGAGGTTACAGACCACATGCTCATCCCAGCAGTATCAATGGATGGGTTGTGTTCGTACTTCCAGGTCGCAGTAATGCATAAAAAATAGAACAGCTGTCTGATGGTTACACTCGATAGTCCAGCCGGACAGATGCTCAAAGTCCGAATCAGGGGTCCTACTCTCTGTTTCCTCGACTGTGGGAAACAATTGGAAGATGACCTTCAGCCAATAGTTGTTTGTATCCCCCCTCAGGAAGAACTGTCACTCTTTTTTTTTTTTGGAAGAAATGTCACTCCTCTTTTTCAGTATAAAAAATACTATAAAAATTAAATACTATAAAGCCAAAACAGGGGTTCAACTACAGGGAGACACAGTTAAGAAAAATCCCATCTGTACTGTGAAGAAGAGACTCTCTGAAGCTGGAGGGATCCCGGCCTCTATGTTTACTTGGTAATATAAATGTCAACTTCAATTTAAAAAAAAAAAAAAAGTTGTTCGTGTTGCAATGCAGATGTGGAAAAGGAACCACGAAGCACTCAGCAATACGGGAAGTATTGTCGAGCCTTGATTGGACTGCGCAGATGTTGTCCGTATGACGACACGTTGGAAATCGTATACTGTTTGGTGATTATTGCAATCAGACTCGCATACTTCGTCACATGCACAAACAGATGGTGAATCACACTGGCGCCTCGCGCCCAACTCAAAGCTCGAAGATATGGAAACCAAGACACAGTTCAGATGCAAGCTCGCTTCAATAGGCTATGGTGCATCAGCACCCACACATCGCAACTCTCGTCACAGTGTCCAACACCACTGTTCACTTCACACTTCAACTCCGGATCACCCTGGATACCCCACGCACACACTCTGCACACACACGAATGCACACCTACTACTAACTATGGCAGCTATGGCCGCCGGCTAACTCTACTCTACAAGCAGCTATGGCTGCGCTAACTCCCTCTAGCCCACTTCGACTTCAGGCTCCTCTGCAGACCACCTCGCACAAGTCACCGTGGCAGCGCTTCCGCATGGCTTCCGCAGGAATGAATGAATGGCTGTGCGCTGCCTCTTGATTTATACTTCTGTAACTCGTTGCTCTGCCCCTTTCCATCGGCCCATGGTACACACAGTCCCCCATGGTACTTGCTGGACTGGACTGGGACTTACTGGACTGTACCGCTGACTGCATGGGGACGCACTGCTAACCTACCGCTATCGTACTGCGAACGTACTGCAGTTGGTCCACCACTTGCCCACTTGCCCACTTGCCCACTTGCCTCAGTCTAAAACGTGAGCAAGCTGCGAAAGGCCACTTCCGGACCTTCCGGAAGTCTGTGGACTCGGCCTTTCGGGACTGTAGCAGCTACGACCTTGACCTCTCAGCACTGTAGCAGCTACGACTTTGACCCTTCAGGACATCTACAGCTACGACTTCTGGAACTCTCTAAGACCTCTACTCGACAGGTCTACAGATCGAATCCCTATGTCCACACAGTCCTACGACAGACAAACAACAACTCACGAAACACAGGTCACGGGTTCAAATACTCAGGGGTCAACTCGGTACTGTACATGGGTAAGATACAAATAGAAATAACCAAACCACATCAACAAAATGCCAATACCAAGCGGCAGCTTCAAACCCGAAATGGTGTCTTCGAGTAAAATGACCCATGTACTGACGAACACAACAGATAATAAGAAAAATGGTTCCAACGATGACATGAACCCTGGGATCTGCATCTGCCTCTGCAAAGGTGAAAACCGTTTCATTATTCTGCTGGCATTGTATGATCAGATACGGTGGTTCAAAAAGTGCACAGGATCGTGGGTTAAACAAAAAAAATAAAAATAAAAAAAAATAAAAATAAATGCCAGATACGGTGGTTGCAAAAGTGCACGGAGTTGTGGGTTAGCTCTTAGGCCCTTCACGAACGCTTGGGTGTTAACGCATTCATTGGCAATTCAGGCAGCATATAATACCTCTTGACTTCTTCTATCTGTAGGGCACAATACGTACTAGGCCAGACTCGGAGAAGCAGGAACGTGCATTCGAGGGAACACCTTTCCGTTTGTGGGAGGGGCAAGAAGCAAAATCATCTGTACAGATGGTGGCGCGTGTTTGGAGTCGAGTCTTACATGTTGCTGCGGATAGATGTATGCACAGATGAGGAACTTCCGTCGCTGGAGCAACTGTTTGTTTGCCATTGGTGCCCCGTCCTCGATATGGCAGGTAAAAGACCTCAAAGGCGCAAGGGAAGAATCGTTGGCAGAGACGTAAGCGGGAGAGAATCAGACAGAGTGTGAAGGAATATAGCAGTAGAGCGCTGTCAGCCATTGCTCTGGTTAAAGCTTTAGGCTATCTCCGGATGATGAGTCGAAGGTTGACTTGTATCGGATTCTAGCAACACAAGAAGCGCGCTGGTGCCAAAAATTTACGCTAAAGACGCAACGATGTAGCTGCTGGACTGGAGGGTGGAAATCATTCAAGGGTGCGTTCGGGAACTCGGTGGGTTAACTTAAAGGTGGCAGGTGTGCATGTGAAGGCTGTGTAAATTTAAGTCGATTCTGGAAGCTGGAGCCGAAGTAGAGATCAGTCCTCTGTGTCATTGGCGAACGAAAGCAGGACCAGACAAACGATTCTTAGGGTCTTTGTTTCGTAACAGCCGGTGCAACTTGAAGAAGATTCTCAATCGATGTAACTTGGACACACTAGTGCGCTTGATGATAGCGGTGGCTGATTTCCGATAGGCTACCAGAGTGGCCCGGGGCCACTTGCCTGGCCGGGCCAAACCGTAGGCGGAGAGAGAGAAGAGGACAACAAACGAGGGGCTGTGACAAACTGTTTCATCGGAGTTGGAGGCTGTTAGGCGGCCATGCTGTGCCTCTAGTGCCAGCGGCGTGTCTGGAGTGTATTTTTTGGCTGTGACAGACCTTTCTTTGTTTCGTGGATGTTTTGTTGGCTTGTGATGGGGTGCATCGTCACAAACAGAACTGCCCGGTAAACCGTAGGCAGAGAGAGAGAAGAGGACAACAAACGAGGGGCTGTGACAAACTGTTTC